TTCTTTATTGCTGGGCCCTGGAATGTGTTTGATGATTTGGATTCCCGGAATGAACGTTCCACGTGAATTTAATGAAAGAAGTAATTGACTCACAATCAGTCTTCTGATTGATCCGAACAAAGTCAAAAGCATTCCAGAAAATTGGCTGAGTCTAATCCCTTAGTTTTGCATTTACATAATTTGTACGTTGTTTTCTTTGAAGGAATGAAATCATATAATGTGAAACGCGAAATGAGAGAGAAAGCTGGAAGCATCAATAATAATTATTAAACACCCGTCTCACCTTTGCCAAATATATATATATATAAAAGAAAAACCGAACAACAAAAACGTTTTTAACATACACTATTGAGTGACGATGGTCTGATTCAATGTAAATAAATCTATAGCAACCGACCAAAGGCGAGTAACCAAACAATTACGGAAATTATTCGTATCGAGATGCCGAAATGAAATGTTATAAGTCACTAGACTCAAGTTGAGTTATGATAAAGACGTGGAGGTAACGACTTGAGCGGACTCTGACGTAGTTAATCTCGTGGAAATGTGACGTCCAGGACAGTTAAGGACTTTATGATCGGTCCAGAAAAGTTTTGTTTCATGTACCAGGTCATAAACTATATTTATAGCCCTGACATTAGAGTTAGAAATCAGGAACAGGGTGGTATCCCTCCTATGTAGGATCGAGTGGACTACAATGATGAGTCTATGAAAACTAAAATAATACGATTAAATGCAATTGCAAAATATCTTTATTCATTTAAAAATACAGTTTACAGTTCACGCATGAACAAAAATTGACAAATAAAAAGTATAAAATATTACGAAAAATAATAAGTATAAAATACAAATTGTGAATAATTAGTTATGTACCTAATTCTTTTTGTTTAGAAATCATTAGAATTTTTAAGAGTTATTCGAGAACAAAAACAAATAATACATTCAATGCCATGTATACAAAATAAAACTCGAATAATCGCAAATTTGTGATGAAAAACTTAAAAACCTAACGAATCGATAAATATCAACAATACAAACAGTATAAAAAAGAACAAAACAAGCTTACTTCTCTTTATAAAAATTATTCATTTCAGGAAAAAAACAGATAGGGCCTACTTATTTATCTTACTAATCAAATCGATAATTATAACAATACACACAGTATATAAACACAAGCTTAATTCACTTTAGAAGAACTATAGTACAGTCAATCCGTATCCAACGTGGACAAAAATGGCGTCCAAGGTATTTTGTCTGAAATTTATGTTTTTGGGGTGCTGAATCCGAATTTTAAGTCGTCCAACAAATATTTCTTGAGCGTTCCGAGATATTCGCAAAAAATGGCGAAATTTTAGCACTTTTTTAAGTTTTCATGTTATAAGTAAAAAACTATGAATTCTAGAGACTTTTACCCCCGTACAAAATTAAAGTTGACAAAATTTCCTTCAAAATACACTATTCACACTTGAAAATCTATTAAAAATAACCTCCGCTAAAGCGCATTGAAAATTGGTTATTTTTCAGAATTTAAAAAAATTCAAGCTTTTGGTCTGATTTTAATATTACTCAGCAAAACCCCACACCCTTCCACCCTACAACTATCTCAACCCACTTTCCCCCATCAACCCCCCCCCCCCCCAACCACCCAATGTACTATACCACTTCCCCCCCATTCTACAGCGTTCTTTTTATTTTTCTTAGGCAGAATGTGATAAAAAATGTTAGAGAAGTAGGTTTCCACGGTTATGATAAACATGACAAGGCAATTGTTATCATTGACCCAACGTCACTACACCAAAGAATGACTATTAAAAGCAGTCTGAAAACGAGTTAAAGGAATTTTTGAAATTCAAGCTAAGTCCGTATCCTTCGTCATTATTTAAAGAAAAATCCAAGAGGGAAGGTAAGAAATCGAGCCTCTACAAATCTTTCCACCATTTGCCCGATTCTGAAATACCAAAAGACACCCAAAATGTTATGTATGGAGGGTTTCTACTGCACAAGATGGTTTGGGTGAGCAACCTGATTCATTTTAAACAGAGTTCTTGAAAATTACTGTCTTGTATACCTTGTACCTTAGGTCTTCCAGGTGTCTGCCGGTTCCCCGTATCATAAGGCTGCTAAGAATGACTCTCCTGCCTCTACATGGAGTCCTGGTTAAAGGTGAAGTCATGGGAAGGTGTCATAAAAAGGGCTAGCTGGGAAAACAACTGGGGGTGTTTGTCCAGCACCTTCAAACCCTTAGCCTATCCCACTAGATTATATGCTAAGCCCACTGGTAGCACCAGAAGGTGGATACCTTCTCCGACAACAGTGACTGAACTGCTTTGAGCAGACAGATCGATAGCTGTAGTAATGTACATGTACGTGGTGTGAAAAGTAGATATAGGAAACGATTCTTATTCCGATCATTCTCCAAGAAATGTAATTGAGAAACGTCTGGTTTCATTCCTTTTCTTAACCGCACTTTTACAGAGTGTTCTTTTGGTGGCAAATGTTATTTCAGATTTGGGCAAATGGTGGAAATATTTGTAGAGGCTCGATTTCTTTCCTTTCCTTGTGGACTCTTCTTGAAATAATGACGAAGGATATGGGTGTTTGATGGGGGAAAGTGGGTTGAGATACTGTAGTTACAGGTTGGAAGGGTGTGGGTGTTTGCTAGTTTGCTAAATAATATTAAAATCAGATTCATAGTTTTTGACTTATAACATGAAAACTTAAAAAAGTGCTAAAATTTTGCCATTTTTTGCGAATATCTCGGAACGCTCAAGAAATATTTGGTGGACGACTTCAGATTCGGATTCAGCGCCCCAAAAAACATAAATTTCAGACAAAATACCTTGGACGCCATTTTTGTCCACTTATAGTTGATTTTTACAACGGATTGACTGGACTACTAGGACAAAATGTTTCAACTTCAGGAAAAAAGGTTCTTATTTGTCTTACTGTATTGACAAACATTTTAAAAGTAGCACTAGAAAAAATGTTCTTTGGAAGGGGGTTGTATAACTTTGAAGCTATAAAACTAAAACCCCGTCTATAAAAGTCAGTTTTCACGATTTATAGGACTTTATGAATAGAGTAAATACATATAAACATGTTAATATTATATATTAAGTAGTATAAAAACATAAAGATATTTTATGATTTGTATGCATGCATTTTACCTCTTTTAACCTTGAAACTTATTTTTATTTATTGACTTTATAAAGTAAAATCATATAAAATTGAAGCAGTAAATTAAGGACTTTATATTATCCAAAACGTAATTTTCAAATACGTTATACTGAACTAGCAAACCCGTCGCGGTTTCGCTCACGAAAATGTAAATTAAAAATTTCAATGTTCTGATAGGGCAACAAAATAATAAAAAAAACATATCAGACCTAAATCAATTTATTTATAATCACTTAATTTAGTTAGCATGTTTGACTAACGAAGTTAACACTAATAGAAAACTGCATTTACAACATTAACTCCCCTTCCAACAAGAGTTTCAGGCCACTTACTCTGAAACCAACTACAAACTATGTGTTTGGTCAAGATACTATCCTCGCTGTATCTCTTTTCAGTTAGGTGTACATGCCTAAAACAAATTTTTCAATGGTACAGTCAGTTCTTCCATAACTTTATTTGAAAGTATTAAATAACCTTAAAAACATTAAGTATTATAAAACTTTGCACGATGTTTTATTGTGTTTCTCAAAACTCTTGGATTATTCAATTCTCAAAATCGCTTTTTCAACTTAGCTTGACCTGTTAAATGTTATGCTTTTTAAATGCCGTACTCTATATAAATATATATCATAAAAGTGCATGTAATAACTGAATACTGTCAATACTGTGTGAAATACTCTTCTTTTAACACTTACCTGAGAATAAATAAGTAATCTAACAGAAAGAGTTGTAAACCATTTAGTAACGCATTTTAAATAATGGAATGTAGATACTTAAAACAAAAGAACATAATGAACAAGGAGGAATCCTTTCTGCGATACTGCAAAGGTATAACGAGTCTAAAGTTAGCGAGCCGGGCTAATCCTTTTACATATTCGAACAGTTTAGAGCCTGCCAAAGCCAGGTAAAGTGGCTATAACTCGAGTCTATTTACCGGATAAAGCTTCAGGTTTATAGGTTTAGTTGTAACTGAGGAAATAGTTATACATGTAACAGACATGTGTATTCAATGTATTCGTCAAACATAAAGCATCACCTTATAGATAAATTGGTTTTAAATATAATAACAGGAAGTTTTATTGTTCTAAACTGTTAGGTAAAAAAATATTTAAAATAATTCGTTTTACGTATTTGAATGTATAAAACATAGACTAATGTTACTAAAGCCAGGTTTTAAAAAAGAAAAAAAACTTGTAAAATTATCTATTTAACGTGTAGTTTATTTTCCCTAGATATTGATTTGTTTTTCTTACATAAATAGCTTTACAATATGCTAATGCAAAGGTTTAATTTCTTACCTAAGACAGTTTTTAAATTAGCTGTTTCAGTTCAGTACTTAACACGTTCACTGCTAATGACGCACTTGTGCGTCATAAGTATATTAGCAGATATATAATACATGATGTATATAATTACATAATATATTTTAATCCACAATTTATAGTATAAAATTTATTTAATTAAAGATATATTGTCACTCAATTAACATGATCATGTTAATGTTTATGTTTTTTAGCCATTTATAAAAGTATTACATATCATTAGCAGTGAATGTGAAAATTAAAAATATTCACTTAACCCTTTGGAGACTTTTCACGAATAAGACTCGTGATGAGGTTATGTGGCCCAAAGGCTCTATCACGAGCCTGGCTCGTGATGGTGCAGACGTTCAGAAAAACGCTCTGAATACGCTCCAGTTGTACTGAACTGGATTGAAATTAGTATTTACGGAAACAGCAGAAGCTTAGCTTTATTCTAGTGTCTGGTTTTATATGGTTTACTCTTTGCAAGGAAGTAAAACATCTAATCAAAGTTTTCGTTTCATGTCAAATCGCTTTGATGAAATATTTTCAAGCGAAATAGATCGTTTGTTGGATGAGAATAGTGAATCAGAGATAGACTCGGATAATGAAAGTGAAAGTGGCGACGAACTTGTAAATATTGCACTTGAGGACTTCCGTAGTGACATTGAAGACGAGAGTGTAAGCTTAGAGGAGGTAGGATGCAATGGCAGTGTTTCATTTATTGATGATTTAGGCCTAGATGTAACTGAAGAGAATGATTTGCCTCAGCCTATGTTAGGCCTAGAAATAGGCCTACCGGTAACTGAGGAAAATGAACTCCCTCAGCCTATGTTAGGTCTAGGTGTAACGGAGGACTTGTCTCAGCCTATGGATATTGAAGTAGGCCTAGGTGGCGAAGGAGAGCGTGGCCAAGGTGATAGGCTAAGGGTTAGGGGTAGAGGAAGAAAAAATGTAAGAGGTCGGGGTAGAGGGAGGGAAGAACATAATCAACAAGGACAAGGGGATGGGCCTAGGGTTAGGGGTGGAAGACAAAATGTAAGAGGTCGGGGCAGAGGGGGAAGAGTAAGAGGTGAAAGGGATGTAGATCGTGAACAAGTTGGGAAACGAAAACGAAAAAGGAAGAAGAGGCCAGATGCTTGGGTATGGGCTGACGAGGATAACGTACCAAAATAAATCCCCTATGTTGATGTCTCTGGACTGAATCCTGCTACAGCCAGAAAACTTGGAGACAATCCTAGTGCTTTCCAGTGTCTGGAGGCATTTCTGGGAGAAGAATTTTTTGCCATGGTTTGCCAGGAAACTAATGACTATGCCGCAACACAACTGGCCAAACCTAACCGAAGAAAAAAATTTGATGACGATAAGTGGCAACCGCTAACCATCCCTGAGCTAAAGGCCTATTTTGCCTTATATATTTTGATGGGTCAAGTGAGAAAACCCACCATAAAAATGTACTGGACATCCAGAAAAATACTTGAAACACCCATATACGCTGAGGTGATGACATACCAGCGCTTCAAACTTATTTCAAGATTTCTTCATTTCGCAGATGAAGAGTTTGCTGAGCAAGGAGACAAGCTTAAGAAGCTGAGGCCTGTTATATCCTACATGCAAACAAAGTTTATGCACACCTACACTATGAATCAGACTCTAGCGATCGATGAAAGTCTTGTGAAGCTAAGGGCACGGTTATCATACGTTCAGTTCAATCCCAAAAAAAGGGCCCGTTTTGGCATAAAAGTTTATAAACTTTGTGAAAGTGCTAGTGGTTATTGTGGTGATTTCAAGATATATACAGGAGATGATAAGGCTCCTAACATCCCAGCTAGTGAAGCTGTGGTTATGCAATTAGCTGATTCAGTACTTGATTTAGGCCATATTTTGTATATCGATAACTGGTACAGTTCTCCTGGGTTATGTAAGCGGGTGTTAGAGAGAAAAACACATGTTGTAGGCACAGTAAATCTAGAAAGAATTAACATGCCAGAAGAATTTGATTCTGCAAATTTGGAAATAGGGCAAGCGATTCGTCGAAGCAAGGATGGCATCCTAGCTGTGAAATGGAAGGATAGGAAAGATGTACATGTTCTTTCAACAATACATGCTGGAATTGAAATGACTGTAGATAAAGTGATTCAAAGGAAAGGTATAGTGTCGGAAGTGATAAAGCCCAAAAGTGTGATAGAATACAATAAGGGTATGCTTGGTGTAGATGTACAGGACCAGATGTTGGCCAGCCATCCCATCATGAGAAGAACTATAAAATCATACAAAAAAACTGTTTTTTTATCTGATGGACATGGTAATTTTTAACTCTTTCTGCATATATGGAGAAAAATTAAAGGTAAAAAAATACACTACAGAGATTATAGGATTGATTTGGTGGAGCAAATCCTTGAACGCGTTCAACTGCCTACTCGTTTATCTCCTGGTCGGCCTTCAAAGGACAATCCAATGCGGTTGCAGAGTAAAACATGGGGACATTTCCCCATGCTAATCCCTCCTACAGAGAAAAAACAGTTACCAACAAGAAACTGCAAGGTGTGTTATAAAAACAAAATTCGCTCCGAAACGAGATGGCTCTGTAAAAAATGCGTTGTGCCACTCCATCTAGAGGAATGTTACGAGGCGTACCACACCAAGATCAACTACTAGAACATCCAGAAAATCAAGATCATTGTAAATAGTGTACAGCTTAGTATTAGTTTTTAGTTTTGACCAGTTTTAGTTACAAAGTGCAAGCAAAACTTGTGTGTTATTGAAAAATGTGTAGGCCTATATCATGGACATACCGACATCCCTTAGCTCCAAGGCTAAATAACAATATTATGGTGAGTAGTCATGTTTTTTGTTTCCATTGTTTTACTTCCTCTATGTATATGTTTCTCCAAGGATAATCAATAAAATAAAGTACCTCTGGATCTATAATTCTTCTTAGTAGGCTATTTGAAAATATTGGCAAATATGTCGGTTTTTCGATGAATGCATTGTTTTACGATAATAAATATTTAACAACATTGCCTACTTACTTATCAGCATTGTTGTTTTACTCAACAACACGGGTAATGGACCAGTGAGGTTCAAGGATTGAGAGAGAAGAAGTAAAATTGTATGCTTCGAACGTAAATTAATCAGCTGTTTAGACAAATTTAATTGTTAATGAGTGGTAAGTGTATGGTACGATCGTTGCATCACTGACAGTATTGGCAATGAGAGGTTATAAACAAAAACATAACCTCCTTTAGAAGTTATGAGTAGTGATTGTTAGTAATAAATAAAACCGTCGAAGGTACGCAACTCTCATAAATATTGCTAAAGATACTCGTAGAAGTTTTTAAATGTTTACTCGTAACGTTAACACTATCTTTATGCGATCGTTGTGTAAACCAGTGTGACATATAATTTTTAACAAACGCATGTGCCTAATACAGTTGTACCATCATAATAATACTACCATATTAGTCTCACTGCTATGTTTACACATATGCATTTTTTTCTATTTTACAAGGAAAGCAACTCTTGTTTTCTAAAGGTGTATAAAAAAAAAATAAAAAAAATAACAAAATGGAGCTTAATTAAAGACAAAAGAATTTTATAAAATGATTTAAAAGATAGATTTTCCGGTTGTCAGAGGCCCGGGACCGATTTACTTTTTCGTTTTAAAATTAATGTAATTTAAATAGGAAATAAATCTGACAATTTAAGGGAACATTTGAGTAAAATTACAGACAGTAAGTCAATGTATTTCATTTGTAAAAGTACTGAGTAGCCTTTAAGGTCAAAGGTTTGATAAGAAAAGTAGCATCCAGAAGTTTCCTTATCACATGGTCCAGAACACATGCATCAGGGTAGATGAAAAATGTCCCAGAGCTTAACTAACCTATATAAGAGAGCTGCAACCATACTCACTTGGGTTATCTAGTTCTTGTGTACGTACAAATGTTAATTGTTAATTTCTTAAATGCTGTGACATTAGTTCACCTTACGGCATTAAAACTTAGAAAACTAAATTGTTTTCTAGTAGGAATTGATTTTATTTTAATAACCCAAAAAGTTTGGAACAATTAAGAAACTAATTTTAATTTGGACTCCTCTTTCGGTCAATTACACAAGATGCAATTATAATTAATCTTATAATATTTATATAATGCAAGTATAATTAATCTGGAATAAACGTTACTTAAGGGACAAAACATTATACTCAAGTCAACCACTTAAAATATAGCTCCTAAACAGTATAAGATGCAACATAGAAGCATAAGAGAAAACGTTGAGATCTCCTTGTTGAAGGCGCACAGGAAATCCTCTCAAACTAACCGAGAAGCCGTGTATCGTATTTTGTAGTTTAGAAGTATAACATTTGTATGGAGAAAGTCTGGAAGTATAATAACCACTTTTCGAGAGTATTATTTGAGACTGCTTTTATATATTTATTTACAACTACTAGTTCAAGGCAAGCTGTTGTATTCTGTTTAAGAAACTCAACATTGTAAATATACTTTGACTACACAACTAATCACAGCACAACAGTTTATATTCAAAAATTGTTTATAGTTTTTCTTAATCATTCGTATTTAATAGAACATTCAAAACGAAAAAAAGTATCTTTTTCACATTGATATTTCAATTATTGACATTTTGCGAAAAATTACTGACAATATCGCAGAAATATCCAAAATCTTTTTTAAGTTATAGAAATAGACATAGTTTATTAATGAATAAGTACAAATACAATGTACATGTCAGCCGCCAATGACAGTACAGTAAAGAATTTACAAGAACAGTCTTTTAAACAAACAATGTATCAGTCAGTCTATTCATTCGTTAAAAGATGTGTACAAATAAATTATAATACCATGTCATGAATTTATTATTCAACTGCTACAGCTTTCAATTTTTATATGTAATTAATTGTTTAAGGTTTATAATAAAAAAAAAAACTTAATTAAAGTCATAAATGAAAAACAATCAGTATAGCGAAATTGTTGATGTCTCGTCATCTGGATTGTACATCGAATGTATGTGTGTATTCGAGCTATGACGAAACCTGGAAGGTAACTGAGAATTTATTACTTGTAATATAATACAAAAGAACATATTTAATATATTCGTTGGGTGAAACAGTGGTACGTTTAGTATAAAATACCTATATATTGATTATCTATTTTACGTAGCTCTAGCTACAATTAGATACAAATACTTTGCTGATTTTCATGATTAAAGCGATCAGTGATTTATATCTTTCACTTAGTTTAGTGACGACTTGCAAGTAGAGCACGTAACGCGTATGTCGAGCCTGTGTTTGTGTGTTTCTCGGGCGACAATAGGTTACATAATGTGTCTGGGGACGGCGCCAGCAAAGGGGCGTTTATATTGCTTTGTGTTGACGAAGCTTTACGCAATCAAGAAAACATAATATACCAACATATAAGTCCACATACACTGTAGTGGGGTATTATAATTTCCTTAAAACTCCACAAATTAGGTCTGGAGTTTAGTACAAATTAATGGTAAGTAAAAACATAAAACATAAATTACTGTCGATGATATTTTAAGACATATCTAGGACAATCTCTAAGTTTTATATTAGCAGACTATAGCTAACGGATATTTATAAATTACTAACACCGGTTGTTCAAACAAGTGTAGCTACACATTTTGTATATGAAAAAAGTGAAAAAAACTTGTAACTTGTTTTTGGGTGATGAGAAGGATAAACATTTGACTCATGTTTGACACCTATTTGGCAAGGTTTTAATTTTGAAAAAGATTTTTTATACAATTAAGTTTACAAATGAATCAATCTAATCACATATCCCTCTGCACAGGTTTATCTCATAGAATAAACCTTTTACTCAAATAAATTCTGAAAAATATAACAAAGTAATAACTTTGATCTTGTATTAATCCATATATAAATCCAAAAGTACCCATGAACTTTTGAGAAAACTACAAGTCACACCCCCATAAAACATATACTTAAAATGTTCGTCATGAGGAGAAACCTTGCACAAAACTATTCATCATTTCATAAATTGCCCTTTAAGGTCGTAATTCCTTTCTAAAGGGAACTATCAATATACCTAATGTTAAAAATACCTCAGCTGTACTTATTTGTTTGTTATTCTTGTATTACCTTATTAAAATCAGGTGTGATTATTTTGTTTGCATCACTGTATTCTGTTTTGTTTATTTCAGCTTAACATAACCAATAAATAATACTTATGAATCCAAACGGGGTGAAGCCCGTGGGTAACAGCTAGTATCATTAACGGCATAAACCGAATTAAAAGCTTAACTGACTAAAAACCCTAAAATGAAAACCACAGTTCTATGCCAATATATAATTTAAAATTGGTATATTATTTTTAGCTAAAACTATTTTATGAAATGAGCCGTGACATGCCCACCAAGCGTCCCACCAGTGTCACGCCTCAGTGTTTTTTGTATAGTGCGAGTGCTGGCCTTGCGCCGGAACTCGTTCAGTTTGGGTCTGGCAGCAGTCCTGCAGACCCCGGGGCTATTTTTCCGCTGCCGAGCACATTTTCGGCAGAAGGCGAGCGACTGTCAATTTAACCTGTCAAACTTTGTCGTTTTCTGAAGGCAATATATTTTACTTCAGACAATTGCTTTATTTTCTACGCCAGCGAATTTTGAACATGGTTTAAGTGTTTTGCCAGTCGTCAGATGAGTAAGTTGTTTGATTATTTTGATTTGTTTAGGTTAGAAAGTTTCTGAATTTGTTTTGGCCTTCGGCCACATTTTGTGCAGACTTTGAGTGGGTTTTGGCTAGTGAAAACCAAGTATTAAGCACCTTCTGTGCATTGGTATTACTTTTAATTACCAATTACTTGCTTTTCAAGGCGCTAGACCCATTTCTGAGCCTGAAATTGAACAGAGTTTTGTTGGGCCTTTGGCCAAGCTTTGTGTGGTCAGACCACAAGTTTTCCTGGTTAGTTTTGTAGTTTTTGTTGTTGCCAAGTTTTCAAAGCTTTCCCCGAGACTCTAGGCCAGATATTACCCAAGAAAACTCACTTTGAAACTCACTTTTGTGCGGGCTATGGTCCGTTTGTTCTGTGTCCCTGTTAATTTATTATTAGGCCTAAGGCCTAGTTTGTGCTCAGTTTTGTTTTGTTATTGTGGCCTACAGCTTATTTAATGTAAATTTTGTCCCTTTGTCCCCTGTAATAGTGTTTTTTTGTTATTTGTATTGTAGGCCATGTCACTCAGCCTAATTTTTTTTAGTTAAGTAATGGCGCCTCCTGGGGGCCAAGCTCGGTCATAATTAGTTAGTATTAGTGCTCTTACTTGTC